TATAGATAGATCGAAGTTGTTAGTTGATTCTAAAATTATTGAGAATGAGATCTAGTTTATTGTTTTACCGATATCTGAATCCCAAATATATCTATACGTATATACCTAAAGACGAATCTTGTTAAGTTGTGGAGTCTAATTTGTCTTATAAATAGGAGTCATCATACGTGTTTTGAATCATTATGAAAAAATAGAGAGGTTAGAAAAAATAAGGTATGCGAATTTTATCTAATTGATTTCTTTTCATCATAGTAAATTACTGCAGCAATGGACAATGAATCAATGATGCAATCTAACATTGAGCCGAACCTCTATAAATCTTGCATTTTCTATTATGTCTATTTCATCACCGGGATTTTATTGTTCTCGGTGATATAGAATTAAAGTTTCTAATTTTCAACGAATCTCTCTTGTAGTATTCAATTTTACTAATGGACACTCGGTGGCCACGGTGTCAATGGACGATTTTGATTCTTGCAACGGTGATAATGCTGTAAGTGTCAAACTAAATGGTCCAGCAAACTACACACTTGATGCTGGTGATACTTATTTCATTTGCCTCGAGGATGACCATTGCGTCCAAGGACAACAGTTGGCAGTCAAGGCTTCTGCCACCGGCTCTCCGACCAGCAGCCCGTCTCCTAGGCAGTTCGCCAATGGCCCTTCAAGCAGCAACACCCCTCCGCCACCCCCGGAACAATCATTTGCCGCCAGAGTTGTTAATATTTCTTTTATTGTCTCTATGTCTCTAGTGATAGCTAACTTTTTTTAGCAAAACTTTACCATTCTAGATAATGATTTTTCGATATCACCTTAACTTCAACTATTATTGATTCAGTTATCTTAAAAATTAACGTCTAGCAAATACAAATTTAAACGTGATATATAAAACAGTGTACCAAGTATTGCATTGATGTCTTATTCACAATTTTCAATTATACTTACTGACTACTACGTACTAAATACGTCTCAAAGGGCATTTTTATATAAGATTAATAATGCATAAACACAAATTAGGGAAATTGCACAATCTGTCCTCAACTTATGGTCTATCTATCATGTTGGTCTCCAGCCTTTAAATTGACACATTTGATCATCAGTTTTAGTTGTTCCACAAGTAGTATCAAACAACGAAAACCACTAAATTCTGCGTTATAACGCCACGCAAATTGCATGTGGAGATTTGTTTTGAGAGTAATATGAATAAGAAGTTGAGCGGGAATTTCGTGTTGATTATTCTTTTGATAGACTTTGGTCTTCATCATTAAATTTGCAGAAATTAGATAAAACCCATCACAATAATCCTTGGCTAATTGGTTGTTTCCTTTTCTTTTCCTTATTATTTATTTATTTTTGTTTTGATCTTAAATAAGAATATGATCATCCTCTACTTTTAGACTGTTATCGTATTCTAGTACCACTTGTGCAAAAACAATATAAATTTGAGGATAATAATGTCTTAATTTCGAAATTACTGACCAACTTGCTTACATAATTGAGTAGTCTGGGATCTCGTTTTCAATTTTCCCATCAAGTGGATTCAAGTGTTAGGCCCACGGATGGAGTCCAGTACAGTAAGTTCTGAACAAACTCCGCCCACAATCCAGATTGTCCAAAACCAAAAGAGAGCCCATGGAGCCACCTCCGACGTCAATGATGATATTTCATACTCGATCCCATACCCTTTCTATAAGCAGACAAATCAAAATATAATCTTCAATTGTAATCTTGAATCTAATCAAATCAGGCTGCAATTAGAGCTATCAAATTCTACGTCTCAGGTAAATATACACCTTGAAAGGTTTCATTTTTGGTAAATGTTGTGAATTTGAGCCCTGATTTCCCGTTTTCAATACCGATCTCTGATTATTACTTCATAAATCTTGAATATTATTCAGTCACGTTTAACGTCTTATTTTTAATATATGAAATGTTTGTGTGATAAATCTAACAAGGAGGAGAAAATAATTTAAGGTTTTGCATATTTTATTGTTACCAGTGTTTATGAAGTATGTAAGTTATGATTGGATATTAGAATTTTTCTAATCGGAAGAGAAGCAACACACTTTAAGCAATGATGACAGGATCTATAAGTGGGGCAATATATTATATGAAGTGTAAAAGCGAGTTCTTGATTATAGGATGCTTAGAAATTAGTGCTAGAATTATTTACCCTTTATTCATTTTTTCCGTCTATTTTAATTTCTTAGGAGTGAAATATGATTATGAGAGCGTTTTTGTTGTAATTTGTTTGATTTTAAGCTGGTCAGAGCACCACCATTTGTTGGCCAATTGGTCCATGTTTGAAAAGATTGTTGGTTAAGGATGGTGATCTAGTGAAGCAGCATACCTTTAGTAATTAAATTTTTTGGATCTCACTCAGCACCTAGAAGTGAGTCCTTTTAGAGGGTGGCTGGAGGGTGTTTTATCAACCCTTTAACAGTGTCTTGACTTCAATTCCATTTATTCACAAAAACTAGGTATCTGTAAGCGGGTGACTCTTACTGTTTAATGCTGTTGATGTGAGTCAATGCATATTTCTCTAAAGACAAATACTATCGCTTGATAACATGTAGGATTATGATGATTTCCCATGAAGAGCCACATTTTCACGTTGAACTGAAATGAATATATTGGAAATGACAGGCTAGGAGCACATACATTGCAACTGAAGAAGACGTATTTTATCTTTTTGGCTAAGTTCCCTTGTGCATTCCAAGTTTAGTTAATGGCTTCCTTAGGGTTGATTTTTGAAAATTCAGTGAAAGTTGCATCAGATTGGTTAACATTTGCTCTTGATGCCTCATCTGTACGAGCTGTTGTCTTTGGAGTGCCCATTGGAGGTATGCTGAAAGTCACAGATATTTTACTTTTCTCATTTCAATATGTTTTGAAATAACATAACTATTTCCTCACTGTTCTTTAGGCCATCTATTTATGGAGGGTCTGCTTTTAGTGGTAATTCTTTTCCTATTATCTCAGAAAAGTTACAGGCCACCCAAAAGACCATTGACAGAGAAGGTTTGTTTTATTCATAAAGTTGAATAAGTTTTCTGGTCTACCATATTTCTGTGGTTGTCATACCCAGTCCCATATATGGTCAGCGTGATTTAACTTATTTGAAGATAGGATATGTGCACAAGTTGGTATGACTTTTTCTATTTTCTCCCGATTTTATCAGCCATCTTTTATTTAGTAAAATGACTGAAAACACTAACGGTTTTACTGTTAAATTGTGGATTTGGGCAAAGGTTTGTAATCCTAAACAAATGATCTTAAAATTTGGAGTGATTATCACCGTCAACATCACGTTCATTGCCACTACCATTTTTAAATTTCAGTGATTTAAAACAATTGTTGTCAAGGTTTTGTCATTATTGCTATGACGCTGAATGTGACAGCAATAAAGGTGGGGGTTCAAGGATGCAATGTTACTCCCTAGGGCCTAAGCATGGTGTTTGAACATGTGTTGAACACAGTCATAACGAGACGTTCTTGCATAGAAGAACCTTCCTTTCTAAGTTTAAGAACTGATGCAGGCTTTGTATATGCAAACAAATACACCGAGTATGATTTTAGCCATTTAGGACACTTTAGGTTTAGCAATTAAAAAATATAATTTTGAAAACGAAAAGAAATGATGTTACAAGTTTGGTGTTTATTACAAGGATACATTGTTTAAACACACTGTCTGTGAGTCTTGTTCTGTGCAATTCTACTTTATTTGTTGTTACCGACCTACCTCATTAAATCTTATGAACAACTTTACCATGTCATTATGATTGAATGAAGTGATGATACAAGTTTGTCGTTAAGTTAGATGCTATCCTATCAACATGTCAACAATTAACTATATTCGCGACATTAAAGTTCTTATTTATTTTTAGTATCTTCTGGTTCATCCTTCCTTTTTACTATTACTCACAGAGCATATTTTTAGGTTAGGCAGATTCCAGATATATTAATATTAAAGGCAAACTCCTAGTCCTATAAACTATCATATTATTGCGAACATAAATTTTTCACATCAGCGTTATTTCAATTTCATCATTTGTTTTACCACCAAACTGATATATGTGCTTTTTAGGAAATAGACGAGTTATGTGATGAATGGACCCCAGAACCGCTTACTCCTGCTATTCCTGAAGAGTTGAATTATGAACCTCCAGCATTGGAAAGGTGAATGTTTTTCAGTCAATCTATTTTTCCGATTTCATTTTCTGGAGATTTGTAATATTAGTGTATTTAGTCTTTTTCTCTGAATAAGACTGCGAAGGAAATGTTTAAGCCTTCTTGGCATCAATTTATAAATTTAGTCAAACTCAAACATTAATTTCAACTACACATTCATAACTAATACTCATTTATTATTCACACATTACGTGGGACCCACTAATATTTCTCTTTATAAATTGATTTATAAATTTGCCAAACGAAGGCTAAATAGTAGAAAAGCCAATGAAAACAAAGATGTAAATATTTTGTTTCCTTTTGTGGATTCCATTCCATGCATGACTCCAGTGTCTAACATTATTTTTCATCTGGAATGATGATATGAGTTCCATGCATGGAGATTATATCTTTTTCTACTTTGTCAGTTTAATGCTACGATTTTGATTTCTCAGTCATGTATTTAAGAATATGCATTCCTCGAATTTCCTGCTACCTCATGGTTATTTTTATACAGCGCGGCAGGACCACATGCAATAATAAATGGCAAAGAAGTAGTGAACTTTACATCAGCAAATTACCTTGGTTTTGTGGGACATGAAAAGCTACTAGTAAGAGGAAGTTACTGCTCTATTCTAATTTTTGTTCCTAGTGTAGCTATTATTTGAGTATTAATTTGATATTTACAATAGGAGTCCTGTACCAAGTCACTGGAGAAATATGGTGTTGGTTCCTGTGGTCCTCGTGGATTTTATGGGACTATCGGTATGATTTGACATGGACATTTACTGGAGCTCCTACTTTGTGAATTTACTACATTGTTCTCGCTCATCTTGCATGTTTATGACATTTTTTATTTTTGCAGATGTTCACCTTGACTGTGAGACCAAAATAGCAAAGTTTCTTGGAACTCCTGATTCTATACTTTATTCCTATGGACTTTCAACGATGTTTAGTATAATCCCAGCATTTTGCAAGAAGGGTGATATTATTGTTGCGTGCGTATCTCTTATCTATGTTTCCTCAACGTTCAAAAGTCTTGAATAATGCAACATAAGTACTTGCTGGAAATTTTGAAGGAAGAATTTATGTGTATTCAGATGGTATTACTTGTGCAAATATGTCATGAGCACCAAAGGCACATTGTTAGGATAAGTATATGAGGGCTGTTTTATTTTTATTTGGAATAATTTTTAACTTCTAATATCATCTAGGTCTTCGATAATTGTGGAAACGTTCCCCCAGGTTTAAATATTTAGGACCTATCATAAGATTGAAATAACCTCCCAAGTAAAGATTAGTCGTAGATTTGGGTAGACTGTGTGAAAGCTTGAACTAGTTAGTACAGTTGGCCATGAGGCACTATAGATGGATTAAATCTCAAAAATATCTCTGCATACTAAAAAAAATTGAAAAAAATTCTATATTCCTATTTCTGAATGTACTTTCTTATCTTAGCCTTGTTTGAGCTCCCTTTTTTGGCCAAAATGCATTTTGAAATGGTGTTTTGTTGGAGAATGTGTGGTTAAAAAATAAGGAAATTTTTTGGGTTTACGTGTAAAATTATTTTATAGGAGAATATGTGGTTGAAAATGAGTTTTGAAAAAATGGGGCCCAAACATAGGCTTGGTATTATTTAGTCGAACGAACTTACAATATACTTTTTTCTAAATTCACTTTCTTATTTTTTTCTGTATTCCAGTGCTGATATCTCTTGTATCTTTCATGAATCTTAACACACGTTTTAAGATTTATTAACAGATGTTCATCGGTGTTCTTTCAGAGATGAAGGTGTCCACTGGGGAATACAAAATGGGTTACATCTGTCTAGAAGTACAATTTTATATTTCAAACACAATAACATGGAGTCTTTACGAAGTATTCTGGAGAAAGCTACCCTGGAAAACAAGCGAGCTAAGAAAGTTAGGCGCTATATTGTGGTTGAAGCTGTTTATCAGGTATCTATTCTAAAAGAAATACTAGTGTTCTACCTGTTGAATCTTTCTTGCTTTCACTTTTCCTTCCCTTTTGTTGATATGTAAGTAGATCTTCTTTCACCTCTCACTACACACAATCCTTTTCCTACTATTTTTGTTTGCCGATAAATTCTTAGATGCACCATTTTGAGGGCACAAGAGTTTTAATATGGATGCCATGAATGAGAGTGAGACAATGCATGCATGGACGATTAATTGGGCATGCACATAACTTCTAATATAACTTCTTGCAGCAGGATCCTCAAAATACTAGTTTGTGACTTGACCTTTTATAATTCCAGAATTCTGGTCAAATTGCTCCGTTAGATGAAATTATCAGGCTGAAGGAAAAATATCGGTTCCGTGTAATACTGGATGAGAGCAATTCTTTTGGTGTTCTTGGAAGTACTGGTCGAGGTCTAACTGAACACTACAACGTTCCAGTATGTTTCCATCACCCTCAGGTATAATTAGTTACTGAATTCGTTTTTATATAGTTTTATGGTTTTATATTGTTGCAGATTGACAAGGTAGATATCGTAGCTGCTGCTATGGGGCATGCACTGGCTACTGAAGGAGGATTTTGCACTGGGAGTACCAGAGTCATTGACCACCAAGTAGGAAGATATATACTTAATTTCTACTACTAGTGACTTAACCCATTGTATAGCTAAGCTTAAAAATAAGTAAAAATTACTTGACTTAATCCGAATATGTTTGAATTAGTCATTTTTTTCTTACTAACTGTTAAGTACAGAGGTTTAAAATAAAAAAGGAAAAGTAAAAAGGTACTTTTATTGGAAGTAACTTTTTGTCAATAAGTCACTTGTTTATCTCCAATTTTTATCAAAAGTTTAATTATTTTAAAATTTGCTTATTTACTCATAAGTGAACTTTTTAAGCTTTGCCAAACATGCTCTTATAAACCAGCTAAACTTGCTTGCCAGATCATATTGGTTGACAAATATTGCATAGGCTTATTTGATATTGCTTTCTGCTGCCTAATTTTATGCTTCATTTGGCAGCGCCTCAGTAGCTCTGGTTACGTCTTTTCTGCTTCTTTGCCTCCATATCTAGCGAGTGTAGCAATTACTGCTATTGATGTGTTGGAAGAAAATCCGGATCTCGTCAAAAAACTCAGAAAAAATACTTTTACTCTTTATGAAGGTTTCTTCTTCTCTCTCTAGTGGTTTTGAGTTGACCGGGGGGAGGTTTCTTTCTTTTTTCAGTATTTTATTTTTTGTTTCTAATTTATATTTTAATCACCTGGAAGAATTATTATTAATTCCTAATATTATTTAAAATTCCAGGTTTATCAGATGTTCAAGGCCTTGAGATCGTGAGTGATCCACAATCACCAATTGTTTTCCTTACACTCGAGAAGGCTACAGGATCCGTAAAAGACCACCTTCAAGTGCTTGAAGATATTTGTGATCGCGTAAGTAGTTTTTAGAGCACATCTGGCCAATCTTAAAACGTTTGCTTGTAAGTAAATAATGAAGTTATAAAATAAATAAATTTTTTAACGGTCAATTGAAAATAACAAGAAGGTAAAAATTACTTCAGAAAAAGTAAGTTGTCAAATATGTATGGAGTACAAAAGTCAAAAAGTAGCTTTTCTTCTTTTTTAAGCTAAGCCAAAAATGTTCTTCAAGAAACCTGTTTTTACTGAGTTGAGCTTCTGCTAGTAATTCTTGTCCCGGTTAATGATTTCTGCTTCAAGGGTGTAAAATTAGTGCAATGTGCAGGTGTTGAAAGAAGACTCCATTTTTCTTGCAACTTCAAAAAGATCAACTATAGACAAATGCAATTTACCGGTGGGAATTAAATTGTTCGTCTCTGCTGCTCATACAGAAGACGATCTGGTGAAAGCTTGTGAATCGATTAAGAGAGTTACAGCAACGCTATTGCCAGGTCCATGATTATGAGCTATAGACGAGGTCTGGTTTCAAGGTTTTTGCTAAAAATCAAAGAATGCTGAAAGCTTTTACCATGTGGGTGTATTAGTTTTGAATTAGTACTTTGGATTGCTCCTCGTGCAGGCTTGGTTAAGATAGAACAAGGATTGCAGTGTTACAGAGTCGAAAGAAGATTTTCATTACATTGTTTAGTTGGGTAGAGTACGTACCAAACACACATTAAACGTGCTAAGTTGATATGCATTATGCTGTGGTCTGTCGAATTCTTCTGGATACACTGCTACTGTTTTTAATTTTTCACACACACTTCTATTTCTCGTTATTTTATTATTTCAGAAATTTGTAGTTTTTTTGTTGTAGATATGCCTCTTTGTTTTCCTTCTTTATCTGAATCTGTCAATTCTTTTCTTTTGTTCATTCTATATACCTTTATTCATATTTACTGGTCCATGACTAACGATTGGATGGAAAGAAGAAAACATGGAGAAAATGCTTGAACAAACACAGGTTTCTGTTTAAACTTGAACAAAGAGAAGAGTCAAGGAAGAGGAAGAGACAGATGCAGATATTAGATTGTCAATTTATAAGATCTTGCAACCACGAGGACTTGAAGCACGTGGATAAGAGAGCACAGAGCGACTACAGAGAACATATAACTGAAACATTGGATTAAACATATAACTAATCAAAAAGAGCATTAACCATATATAGAAGGGAAACATTGTATTAAACATGAGAAACCCCTCGAAAGTAAGATTATAATACACTGCAAATCAGTAATTTTTGGGGAGAAAAACAAATCAAATGAATACATTTTAACTTTTTCAGCAACTCCGGAGAACAACAAGAGAGGGCAGCAGTTAGAGACATTGACAAAGCTCATCCTTCCTTGCTGACATAAAGGAGGCCTTCAAACATACTTCACAACTCTTTCTATTGTAACTTTCATCTTAAACCCAAATATCCATTTCATCCTTAAGGAGAGACATATCGACTCAACCTACATTATAATTGATTTGACGCTTTCCTGCCTTCTAAACTACGAAGCTGACCCTACAAACTGTATCATCTAATCTTGCAGTTTTTCCCTCGAAATAAATAACGGGAACTTGGTACATGTACAAACGAAGCTATAAGTTCGTTTGATTTCCAGGAGAGGCCACTGTGTGCATGGACCTGTTTGTTTACCTCTGAGGTTGATCGGAACTAGCTGCAACAGAAGTGCTTGGACCAGCACCATTTTCCTGTGGTGGTGAAGTGCCCCACTTGCCTTCTGACTCTAGTGGCTCAAGTACACAGACTCCACCATCAGTGAGTCCTAATGCAAATTGATTAGGTTCTGATGGGTGCGCTGCGATAACCAAGGGATAAACCTTTAAACTGCAAAATTGAAGTCATATAATTAGGAAATGGAAAAAAAGGAGACAACTGCAATCTTTTCTGGTGATTAGCTCGTTTAAGCTTAATAAAAGAATTCCAAGAAATTTCAGCAGCATTCACCTTGGATTGGATGTTATGTACGAAGATAAATTAATTCGACATCTCAACCGCAGAGTTGAAGAAGTAAGAACACCAACACTTCCATCTTCAAAACTGACATATATGGATTGACTATCACAAGAATATGTAGCATATGTGATCGGGCCACTTGCTTCCAGGGGTAACCACTATTCAGATAAAGAAAAAAGTAAGTTATTACCACTGGAAGCCAAGAAAGACTCCCCGGTCAATCATCTAAACAATGATAGACACCAATTTTCGCAAGAACTCAATAATTATATGTTCACTTTGAGGAACCAAATTTTCAATAAACTTGGAGTCTGTTCTCTTTGCTGTTTTCAGGACATTTTCAGCTTTCAATTTTCGAAAACACTGAAAACAAGCTTACTTACCTATTTTCAGAAACGAATTTAAAATTTACAAAGAAAAAAAAAATGCCAAAAAATTCGTTTTGGCTGTTTCAGTTAAAAACCAAGCAAAAACTTCATTTTTTTTATTTTTGAAAACAATTTTTCAAAATGCCAAAAAGAACACATTTTCAGTAATCTCAAAATGGACACTCAAAACACAAAACTCAAAATGAATTCAAAACTAAAAACTGAAACACGAAGAGAACGGACCCTTAGATTTTCTAATGCAGGCTGTCATAGATAACCACAGAAAATGTTAATTTACATGGAATTAGCAGGAAAGCATAGTAGTTTTAAAAAAAAAAAAACTACTGCAGTAGTGCAAAAAGATGCACTATCCAGAATAAACCTACAACAAGCACAGCACAGTACAAACAACCATATTTGTCAAAAGCAAAAATGTTAAATGTCACACCTGCTTCAGGCATGTTAATTTGGGAGCTTCATATATTGCTATCTGAGTTTCATGGACTGCTAGTAAATGTGTTTGGTCTTGATGAAATTGCACTCGTGTATCTGCAAGAGGAGAAGTCGTACGACCAGGCGGAATCTGCAAGTATTTACTTGTTTGCATTTCCCATGCATCAGTGCTCCAAACGCACAGCTGCGGAAATAGAAAGGCATCATTAGCTGAAAATATTACACAGCCACACCCCCAATTTCATGTGCTTCAAACTAAAAGAAGAATCACAACACTCCACACTACATAGGAGTAGGAGTAAATTTGAAATGCAAATAAATGTGGGCATATTAGGAAAATAGGGTAAAAGTTCAAATTTACTAAATTGTATACAGACCCATCATTTACCCAAGAACTTTTAATTATATTCCTAGGTCTTGAAAGTTTCACTATGCAGTCCCTAATTTGGTGATCCTGGTATAGTTGTTATAAGAAGGCGTAAGGAACAGGAATATACGTGTAGGAACCATAATTTCCACTTGTAGAAGCACCCATGTCAAAAGCACCTTACCTGAGAGTCGGCTCCTGAAGATACAAGTACATTAAGAACATTAGAGAAGGCAAGACCAGTTATCCTTTTCTGATGACCTTTGAGTTTGGTCTTAACCTGTGCAACAAAAGCATACAATAAACTCAGCTTGACTTATAAAATTGTTAGGCTCACAAGTTTAAGCAAAAAGTTGCACCACTCAGGCTCTACCTCATCAACCCGGACATTATATATTTGGATAGAGGAATCATCCATGCCTATGGCTATGATGTTGTTGTCTAGTGGGTGAAATGCCAGAAATGTTGCTGCCGGCGGAGGAGGCATGAACGTTGTCATGGTCTGAAGATAGAAAAAAAAATATGTCAAGAAAGCAAGTTAACCGGGGAAGTGAGACATAGAAAGCAAGCATTTATCTATTAGCAAGAACTGTTACCTAAGACCAAATATTCTTCATATGCACTAGATACAGCTGAAAGTAAATGCAAGGTATGAGCGGAAATAAGCCACTTACTTTGAATGTCATCATGTTGAATAATGAAATTTTTCCTCCAGAAGCTGACATAACATAAGAATCATTCTTAGACAATGCAAAGCATGGAACAACATCTTCAGGGTTCGTATCACTAATATCATTTGTCATCAATATTCCGCTAGCAGGTTGCCACAGTTGTGGAGAAATATTAGCATTTGCCTACAAAAGTTGAATAAGCAACTAGAGTTAACAAAAAATAGTTCGAAACAGGGAATTTCCTGTAAAATATATAATTACCTTCCCTGTTGTATTACGATCATTCTTTTGCCATTTCCAGAGTTTGTGTACAGCATTGGCAGCTAGAGCCAATATGGAAAACCCTGAATTGGTGTATATCAGTCTTGAAACCTGGTAAATTGCATTTAAAACTGGGTTAAGTTTGACAGAGAAACAAAAAACTAAAAACAGGTCAAGACGTCTTAAAAAAGGATAAGCTAAGAATATAGTGAACTGACAGCTATTTGAAGATTAGGTGAACTCGCAAGGGAATAAAACAACTTTTAACTAAAGCTTCAAGCTCTCTCTAGTTTTAAAGTGTTCCATAACCATAACTTAACATACAATCTGGAGAATCTGTTGCTTTTAATTGAATGGCTGAAACTTAAGTAAGAATTCTTCGAGGGCAAGGCAATTGATGTTAGAAATGTAACTGCATTCATTAATTACTCGAACAGTTAAAACTACTTGAATTGACAAGAGAAACAAAGACATAATTAACAGTCAATTTAAATTTTTGAATAATAGTAATTAGTGTTTGATTATTATTTGTTTAGAGTAAAAATTAAACAAATTACTCTCCGGCAAAACGAGAGCTTGGTCGCGCAGGATGAGCCAAGGGAGGGTGTTTTTTGTGTGTAAGAAAAAAAGAAACTCGGGGGTTAAAAATATGCAAGCGGGAGTTCTGATGGAACAGCTAGTTCTCCAACAATGAAAGCAAGAACAAACCAAAAATCGAAACAAAATCCAATTTTAGGCAACGTCTCACTATGAAACTTCGAATGTTTGAAGACTGAGTTGACTCATACCCTTATTGCCGTCAAACTATCTGGGAGTCTAAGGGAGCGACATTGTGCTGGCTCATTGACTTCTGTAAGCTTCCAGATTCTGGATTTCTCACTAGACTCATCTGCAATCCTGGGCTTTACATCTGCCAAACTTCGACCATCTCCATTCTAAAAAAAGCATTGAAAAATTTCACAATAAATTGCAAATACTATAATGTCAATCCGAAAATTAAATACTACCGAATAGTTGTAGCATTATCATGTGAAGAAGTTTCAATTGCAAATATTTTGTGCACGCATAAATCATTATTAATATACTTGAGACAAGGATATTGATCATATGTTCATAAAAAGAAATTCCCTATCTAAAATTCTGACGGCAGCATACCATTGGAATCATGGATGGTACAGGAGCAATACGATCTACAATGCTTGATCCAACAGCAGCACTAGCAGCACCAAATGTGCCCATCAGTGGAGGCTGAAGATGCAAAATACATTTCAGCAGAAATACACAGATAATGGATAATAGAAGCTGGGAAAAAAAAAAAATTTACCTTCACCACTGAAGCAGAGGCTACCCTAGATGCATCAAATGAACGGTTTTCCATTGTCCTCAGTAGCCTAATGCCATCTGAGTTGGCCAGAATTTTTACAGCATTATCATTTGTTGAAACTGCCAACAATATCCCTTCCTTGTTGAATCGGATACAAGGGGATGCCTAAAAGATAAAATAATTAGCAGATAGCTGCAAGGACATTGTCTGCCAGGTTTAACTCAGTATAGAGGACAATTACCGGTAA